ATATACTCGGAGAACTACATGGAATCTGTGCAAAAAGTTAATATTTTCTATGTAAAAGAACAAGGGAAAGAAAACAAGAAGAACACAAAATCCCAACAAAATGTACGCAAAAAGTGAATAAAGTGTTTGCAAATGTTCGTAAACAAAGTACACATGATGTCTAAGAAAATCAATTACAATTACTTCTTGGGCAGGGCGCGCGTACGGAATTTTCACACGAGTGATGTATTAGAAATCGAACGAGCGAGCGCAGCGAGCGAGTGAGATTTCTGATACAAAAAACGAGTGTGAAGATCTCTTACAAGCGCCCTGCCCATGAAGTAATTTATTTATTTCATACATACTGAGTGAACATTTCTTCTCTTTATTTAGAAAAACTTATCTTTATTTGGAAAAAATGGCCAGCGAATTAAGAAACAAGGGCTACCTCAAACCAAATGCCCTAAAAAATACATCATTCGTTGGGCTCTACAATTGTTGTGAGTTGAAATATTGACAAAAAATTGATCAAAAATGAAATACAATTTGCTGACTCAAGACCGTCTTAATTCGATGATTACATCATTAAATGACTCCTAAAACACCGAATGGTACAATCAATAGAAATGCTTTGACAAAGATTGTCACTGGAATGGTACAGACTGCAGGCGGACTGTCATCATCGGATGGGTCGAGAACTCGCTTGATGCGTTTCTAGCTCCGTGCTACAGTAGAAACAGCATTAACTATAAATAGTAACAGTAACTATAAATCAGACTACGAGCAATCTCTCTGTTTTCTTGGTCCGTCGAGCAAAACGCCCGAGACATGTAAATAACCACGCGCATGACTGAAGGCACGAGACGGGAGAGGCATGACAAAAGAGAGACTACCCGCAAAGCCGGAGAGAATGATCTTTCACGGTCTAGTGATTTTTTGGCGTGAAAACTGAAGTGTTGACAGGCCAGGCACGTGAAACGTGACCTTGGAGTTTGCTTGAACAACAGAAGTTTTCCTACTTTTCTTTTTAAAGCGCAGCTTATTCGGTGCATAGAGTTAGGGTCGATTCTAAACTAATTGACTGAGCAAATCATAATTTTGGCCGCTGGTCTCACATTTAGAGGTCATGAAGCTGGTCTATTTCTCTTCTATAAATAATTCATTTCCTGTGCTTTACGTTTTGAATGAGATCAGCCGAGGGCTAGTTCTTGCTTGCAGGATGTTGAATTTTTACAGAATAGTACAAGTCACTCAAGATCATTCTTTGGGCGCTGATTTGTTTTTGTTTTCTTTTTTTCTTCTTTCTTTCTTGAGATTCAAAGTAAAGAATCTTTGTTCTATAGCGCGATGTCCTGTAGTGCATCCGTTGGTAATTACTTTTGTTTTAGCTTTATAAAATAAACAGTCTAAGAGTCTTCCAGCCTATGCTACTTTCTGTTTTAATTTTTAAAGTAAGACTACCGTTTTGGAACTAAAGCGTTCCTTAACAGTGAGGAGAGGCTTTGAGCATTTAAATTGCGCGATCACGTCACGTACCTGGAGAGATGAGACCTTCTTATGCTTCTCTTTGCTCCTTATCTATTTTTTTTTTTTCGGGAAACGTGACAAACATTCCTGCAGTGCTTCAGCCATCATCAACTTGGCAATGGTTTCGATTGTTAACAGGTTGTTGTCAACGCTTCACGCATCAGCCAATCGTATTTTGCGTTGTGAGGCCAACGCCTATTTCATTGGGTCTGGCTATGCAGGCAGTCTCTCTTTTTTCTTCTCGGGCTGCCGCCCTCGTTGCTCGCGTCTCGCGGATTCGCCGCTCAACGCTCTCGCGCGCGTGCACTTCCCTTACTAAATCTGAAGAAAAAGAGAGGCTGCTCGCAGTCTACTATAAATTCACTCAGAAAATCATTGAGTTCCTGTGGTTGTATCTCTTCTATTTTTTTCTGTTTTCTTGCTTGGATTTCAGAAACTTGGAGAGCAAGCCAACCTCTCGTCTAGTTTTCGACAACGTTTGTTTGTTGTTCTGTTCCTCGATAAATTGGCTAACGGATTTCTGCAAAGCTGGAAAGCGAAGGCTTTCTCCTTCAGCCATTATTTAGCTTCTTCTCGCAATTTTCTTGAGATATTATACAAACCAAAAATCTAAACTTTTCAACTTTTTTGACAAAGCTGCCAGAACAAAACCTTTAATGAAAACACAAAGCTACCGAAAACACGGTTGCTTTTGGTGGGTGCGCTGTGATTGGTCGAAACGCTCTACTCACACGTGAAAAAGCCGTTTCGCTTTTCTGATTGGTTAAATAAATGAGCGAGCCATGTTTTCAATCAGGTTCACTCAAACAGAATCACTCAGAATCACTCCAGTTTTAGATATATAATTATTAACTCGCACATAAAAAGTAATATCACCAGTCTAATTCTACTCCTTGTCTTGATTGTTTGTCAAGATCTCCTTCTTACATGATCGTTTTGCCAGTTTGTTTTCAGTCGTCCGTGAACACCGCATGCAGGAGTACTTAAAATGCCGCGTGTATCAAATGATTATAGTATTTTAGAAGTAAAATGCAAACGAAAATGATTCTGAGACCTCTTCTTCATTACTACCGTTCATTCAAATACTCGACAGCTCGCATTGTAAGTTTTGGCGCTTGGCAAACTGATTCAGAATTGGCTGGTCGGCAGAATTGTAATTAAAATAGGGCAAAAATGACAAATTCTCTCCGAGGTCTTAAAACAAACAACGCCTGATAGTTCTGTTTACCTCAGGCTGGTTTACGCGCTACCAGCTAGAATTGTAGCGAGCCACCCCCAAAAAATGCGGCCTGATTTTTCATTTTGGCCTTTCCTTTAGACAGAGAGACACTGATAAGTTATAACGAGTAAATTGGCTGCCACCGGGAACTATCGTGTCTTTACGGCCTTTGTAGTATAAAATTATAAAATAAAGTTGGTATAGGTGGGCACAAAGGTGATTTTGCTTGGGAAGAATTTGTTTTCCACGCCTAATCTACGGTGGCTAAAGGTGATCTCTATTTATTAGGTATACAAATGAGACTATTAACTCGATGTAAGATTTTAGATGTTGATTCATTCTTGCACCATTTGCAAATTATCTTTTCTCTTAAGTCACCCAGCCCCACCCTTAAACGTCGTGTGGATCTCCCTAGTTAACCGATTTGTGGATCACAAGTTTATTTTTTGATTTAAATTATAAATTTATTAACAAGAGCAACGCTTTTAGCCCTGGCTAAATCTATAAATTACCATTTTACAGAGATTTCACATCTAGGTCGTCAACCTCCTTAAGATCTGACTTCTGCAATTTTATCGTATTCTAATCTACAACTCCCGCTCTTTACCCCATTACTGACCCTGCCGAGGTGTTCAATGCTAACTCTGTATTTCTTCCATTTAATCTTTACGTTAGCAGCTTCCTTAGTGTTCTTACATATTCTCTGTTGATCTTATTTCTCATTTCTTCATGCATCATGCCATCATACTGAAGGACCCTTAAGTACTTTCAACATCAACTGTTTTCCTTTTCTCCACCTTGCAAGACTATTCTCTAAATTGCCGATTCTTCGTTTCTTCATAACAAAAAGTTCAAATGTCTTTAGACCAAATTCCACACCAAGATCTCGATTTAGCGTTTACAACCCAACTGTGTTTATTAGGGCGTCAGTCCCACGTCCATCCTTTTCTGTTTTTTTCTGAAGAAATTCAAGTCGTCCCTAAACGGTAACTAAAAATTGATCGAGAGATCCACACTCTTCATCTACATGATATCCTTAGGATCATCGTCACGATATTAATTGGATAACGTTATTATAATCATGAAAATAATGACACTGATACTCAAAGTCATCATCAACTTTATGATTACCATCATCATGTTCATCATGTTCATCATGATCATCATCATAATATTACTACTAATATTATTATCATCATTATCGTTATCGTTTTTATTTGCTCCTTTTCTGTGCGAATACAGCAGTGTTGAGCTATCGTATACTTACAGTTTAACCGACTGTTAAGTCATGCTGGTTATAGCCGGCTACAAATCTCAGTTTAAATTTCATTGCTCCTCGATTAATCTTCGTACTTAACAATCTCTTCACAGGACTACATATAGAATACAAGACCTATTTCAAGATTCCCTACTTCATCTTCGTACGTGATACCATTAGCTACTTGGTGCTGGTTACATTGCATTTGGCTTTGTGTGTCGAGTCGTCAAAACTGTCGTTTACTGGTCTTGAATGGGCAATCTTGGTTTTTTTCGCCGGTCGCCTTTTAACGGAAGTGAAGCAAATTATTGACAATGCAAGAAAACCGACAGAACGTAGCCTCACTGGTTTTTCGCTTTTTAAAGCAAATCTAAATGCGCTTAAATTCGACTATATAAGGTATAAATAAATTCCTTTTAATTTTAGAATAATGTTGAGTATCGTCTCTAATGGAAATTTCAATTGATTGCAATTAGGTTTTGATAAGTAAACGCTCGTAAAAAGAGGGAGAAAAAGCCACCTTCGGTGTTAATGTATTGACAGTCTGATTCTTAAAAGGTTACTAAAAAATGGAAACTTTTTGTGCAAGACTTGTAGGATAAGTTTTGTTTTTTGCCCCTATTATGTCCAGCTGCCCGCCCCCCTCCCTCCCCCAACGCCCCTCACGTATTTTAGTTAAAGAGTATTAATGCGTTAGCCAACATTTTGATTTTATAGCGATTTTATCAATGGGTCAGTGACTGCCCCTCCCCTTTGGGTTTTCAGTTTGTTGTGATAATTGGAAAGATTAGTATATGGAATAGGACTACATGCAGTCCAATTTCTTTGTTTTTTGTTTCAATATCTTTTCGTTTTCGTTTTCACGGTAGGGACCGTTGGAATGCTTTTGATCTCCTTATCCTGGTTGTTTATATCTTTGCCATATTGCCATTGAGAATCGTCACATGGGTGGAATCCGAATCAGTAAACAACAACCGCATTTTGGCAATAGCTGGTTATCTCTACGGATTCAACACAATGTTCCTCACGTTTAGAGCTTTTGGATCCATTTTGGAGACAATGAAAGGCGTTGGAACTATACAGATCGCATTTTTCCACATCATCGGGGATGCAGTTGCGGTAGTGTTACATTTTGTAGTAATAACTTTGGCCTTCTCAAGCACCATAACTAAAGTATTTGTGGCTGAGAAGACAATGGTTAGCGGTGACACCTCTGGAAAGACAACGTAAGTTTTTTCCCGCTGTGCGTCATGATCTAAATACATTTAATCAAAAGAGGATACACATGTAACTTCCATATCCTCTCCTACATTAAGAAAGAATGTGATCTAGCTTAGTGCTTTAGGAAATTGCCAAGTCTATGGACTTGATGATCACCTGAAACATTAAACGATTATAAACTAAGTTTGTTGGTAGCTGCAGTCTAACAGAAACGATTTCTTATAGCAAGACACCAGTGCAGATGAAACGCGACTTTTAAATGAAAACGCCTTTTTGGTAATAGAAATTACCGTTCTGTATCAATAACTATAGCAATAAAATAACAATAATCTGCTTGTTCTACCTGCAAATTCACAAGCTTATAAAGCTATGGTACAAGAAATGGAACGGTGACTTCCCCCACCCCTTTCGGTTTTTAGTTTGTTGTGATTAGTTCGAAAGATTAGACGTTTAATAGATATAGCCAGTTCTGTGCTTTGGTGAAAAACAAACTAAGGGTTGATTTCCACTGTCGCGTATGTAACTTTTACGTGCGTATATAATGAAAGTAGAGGCCATGTATGGAAGGCCGCTCGTAAATGTAAAAGTTAAACCTCGCTCAACTTTTACGTTTACGCGCGGCTTTCACACATGGCGTGCCGGTACAGTTTTGTTGGAAGGGGCGGGGAACGAAACTTAAAATTTAGTTTCATCATATGAGGCAATGTACCACTGTTGAGAGATTCATAAGCTGGCGTTTCGCGCGCTCAAAAAATGAGCATTTGAACGTCTTAATGAGGATGTTTTATTTGCCCTAACATTCGTTTGACAAAACCATTTTTCTACAAGATGATGCAAGCATTATGAAATATGGCGCTTCTGCGGACCTGTGTCATCACTGAACACCATGCGAGTCTTTGATTATGCTGACGTTCAGATTTATGAAGGAAGTTTTAAAACTATTTATTTCCAAGCTGTGGGTGTAAAATATGTTATATCAACCAAACATTTTGCTTCCTTTAGCACCGTTTTCTACTCGAGAAACGCAAGTTTTGTTCAAAAACAGCTCTGATTCATATGACTTATGACGTAAATTATATAGGTCTGAATGTCACCGAATTTAACTCACATGCATGTCTCTTAGGTATGAATTTAAGCAAGCCTAAAAGCGGAGCTCTTATTTAATTCTTTAACATTAATTCGCTTGGAAATTAAAACATGCTTTGAAACTTAAAAAAGGAATATACACAAATGTTACTGTTACTTCCTAAGTAAACTATGGTATATCTTCACTGTTTTATCCCTGAAATGTTTCAACATTATGCTACAGTACATCAGGCTTTCAAGAACTGCTCTATACAAATCCTATGGCTAAAACTTCATATCACTTTGATTAACAAATAATTAGTGGAAAAAACGGCAATGAAATCCTCATTGAAATAATTTTTTGTTACATTGCAGTGTATGCGACAAATCCGGAATACAATGGTAAGTCAGTACTATCAAAACTAGGCGGATTATTGTCGTACTACTAAATGAAGTACTGAATGTCGTGGACAGCAGTGACTAACGTTTCGACAACCCGTGCTGTAGTCATCTTCAGACTCTGAGCAGTTTAGCACCCCCAAAAATGTCATTTGAAGTGTATCCTCGAAGTAAAATTCGAGTTGCATTAAAGGCGCTGTCGGAGATGATTTCACCCTACGTAAAATCCGCATGGTCAAACAACGGGTTTAGGAGTGAAATATGTAGCCTTTTAGCGGTTTCCTACTTAACCCTATCCAGAGCGGCCGGCCTTTTTTTAGCTTCCGGCAATCGGAGGTGGGGGCTTCAGAAGCCCCCACTCTATATCTTCAAAACCGCTCATGCTACAGCCACCAAACTTTCACAGAATAATGTACTAATTATTTCCAACTTCTGGACATAGCTTTATTGACACAATTATGTAATTGGCGTCATTATGACGCCATATTATCGAATTTATTGGTAGAATCTTAATTTCTCTAAGAGTACTCACGAAGCAAAAAACTTAAATAGTAAGATGTTTGATAAAATCAAGGAGTTGCCTAACATATAAATAACGTTTTACCATAGCAGTAATCTCATGTTAACGTCATTAATTGCTAAAAAGGAACGGAAAGCATCCGCCATCTTCGATCCGCCATTTTGAATTATTTAAACGTATTTCATTGTACTTAAAACCAGTAGAAATCGAGGTAGAAATAGAAAACTTGATCTGAGTATAAAAGGATGTGTAGGAAGCAAAAAAATCTGCAAACTATGTAATTCCCAAAGAAATGAACACTGTTGAAAATTAAACTCAGCATCTGCGATTGGGTCACATCAACTCATGTTTTTCTTTCTGACACTACTCACTAAAAAGCCTTGATAATTTAAAGTGTATATGACAGAATTTTTTTTTTTTGCTTGGTAGAATCTCTACAGTGTTTTGATAAGGAAAGCAAAAAAAATTTTTCTATAGCGATTTCTCTTCCCCGTGTTTTAACCTGCCAAAAACGTGAAATTTCACTTCCGGTGAGCTACAAAACCGCGTTAGCGAAAACAGAAGACTGGGAATGATTATGACGTCATTTCAGGACATTCTATTTCGCGGCAGGCAAATTACCTTGTCATTTTCTTATTTGTGCGGCAGTCTTTGGAGAATGTTTTTTGAGTTACCCTGACCTTTTTTGATCAGAAACAGCAGAAATCAGTAAAAAGTCGCTTAAGCTCGAATTTAATTGACTGTGAAAAAGAATAATGAGTTTTGAAAGCGATACGGAACGGTCAGACGTGGAATCGATCGGGTCGCGCACTCACATCTGCGAGACAGAGCTAGGATCAGACGAAGATGAAGAAGATATGTACTATTCAGATCCAGAAGGACCGTATATAGATGAACCTATTGCAGACGAGGAATGGCTAACAGAATACAACCGAGAACTACAAGAAATTGAAAGGAGAAACCAGGAGTTACAAAACCGCTTTGACAGGATTGTCGAACCCGAGACTTGGTAAGTGTTCGCTCTGTTTCTCACCTTTTAATTATTAGCCTGAAAAATCTTATCTTACTAAGATCATACCTTGCCGATAAAAAGAAAATGATAAAAGTTGTATTCTTCAACTTAAATACTACGTTCCTTCTATTTAATTTCAAAGGTGCTCATGTGGCAATTGTGCTCTTGATCGGCTGCAAAATCCCGGGGAAAGCCCCTGCTGCAAGGACATCGAAAAGTGCGTCGAATCACTTGGTAGTACCGCCGTTCTGAATGAGGTGGAAATCAGTCCCGAATGTATTACATTGCATCCAGGTTTCAGTGTCGTTTGCCTTAACAGATGGTCTCTCCGATCAGCCGCAAGTAAATACAAAAGGATAGACGGTACAAAGTATCGTCAGACTGATACAGAAGAAAAGTGAGTAATGTTCTGCCCAGTTTTTTTCTGTCAGAGCTATCTCTAATTGCTAATTTACTGTGTTCTCCAAAAGCAACGTTAGCCGGCAAAAGCGCGCGACAGTTGCAACAGATGCAGTGGTTATTTGTTCAAACACCATTTTAAGAGAAAGATAATCAATCGATTGTTTTTGTTGCCCATTATTTTGTATAATAGAGAGATTTTACCTGACCTATGAAACAGACAATAAACAGCTACAATTTAGAAGACAATAGAAATAATGCATGATAGCTTGTTCCATTCTACTACCTGTTTAATCGGTTGAGTAAAATCACTATATTACAAAAAACATATGATAAAGAATAAAGCAAAATGTACTTTGCAGAACCCCTAAAATGTGTGTGGGAGGGGGGAAGGGGGGGATTACCAGCCACACCAAACCCCACACAAAGCATTTTGATCTCATCTTTTGCCGACTACTTTCATCTTTTCTTACTCTGCTATATGATAGCATTGTTTCCCTACTGATACATACTCACTAAATACAACTTACATGGAGTAGTTGGTGGAACATTGACCATAATCATGGCTGTGTTCTAAGACAAATTGAAGGGAGCCCAGTGCCCTGAACCTGTGAAATCAAGGATGCCTAGCATAATATTATAATCTCTAAGATTTTCTTGTCGCTGTAGAGCAGAAGTTATGTGCTGGGGGTTACCATGTGCTGTTAGAACACAGCCCTATCTTAGACTAGCTGAGCCTTCTGCCCCTCTCAAGTCACTTTTTTCTTTGGGAAAATCTTTTTTTTTTTGGACATCTAGGGATTTTTATTGTTATCAATATTACTGTTATAATCAAGAAAATGATAAATATACCCATTAAAGCAACATATTACATCTTTTGTTGTAGAAATAGGAACTGGGATAGCCCAGACTTAATGCAATTTTGATTCCTTTTTTTTTTTTTTTTTTTTGGCTTTTGTTTTGTTTTTGTTTTTGTATTTGTTTTTTGTTTTTTCTTTTTAATAATCCAATCTCAAGCAGCATTTGTAAATTGCCTATACGTAGCGAGATTTACAATTGTACATTCAAAAAAACAAATAAAGTTTCCATTATTATTATTATTATTATTATTATTATTATTATTATTGTTACATATTATTATCATTTTATCAGCAGTGAAGGTGGACTAAATATATTTTTCCTATTTTGCTTGCAGTATCTGTTGTTCTTGCCCAAGAGGCAGCTGCAGCTACAGCACAGTCATCAAGTGGAGGAAGAACAAGGAATTGCACTGTTTGCAAAATATCCATGAGAGAGCACAACCTTCTAGTTGATTGTCCCAGGCACGACTAAACAGTGGACAGTGATAGTGGACCTTTTTATTTTTATTTTGAGGCAAAGTCAATAAGTTGCCTGGTAATTGCTTAATACAAACTGGGAGAGATTTTCATCACCATTATTTCAAGTCACCCTCGCACTGTAGATAATTAGGATACAGATAGTCTCTGTGCAATCAGCTGATGTTTTGAGTCAATATTAGTCCAAACTAATAAACGTTGCTTTTGGAGAACACAGTAAATTAGCAATTAGAGATAGCTCTGACAGAAAAAAACTGGGCAGAACATTACTCACTTTTCTTCTGTATCAGTCTGACGATACTTTGTACCGTCTATCCTTTTGTATTTACTTGCGGCTGATCGTAGAGACCATCTGTTAAGGCAAACGACACTGAAACCTGGATGCATTGTAATACATTCGGGACTGATTTCCACCTCATTCAGAACGGCGGTACTACCAAGTGATTCGACGCACTTTTCGATGTCCTTGCAGCAGAGGCATTCCCCGGGATTTTGTAGCCGATCAAGAGCACAATTGCCACATGAGCACCTTTGAAATTAAAAAGAAGGAACGTAGTATTTAAGAGGCTGTCCGCGTAAGAACCGATAAGGCAAATTTTGGTCTATCACGCATTGCCCTGATTTTTTCAGTGGAAGATAACTATCCTATCCCATGAAGAAATATCACATTTATTTGGACCAACTCAATTTTTTCTCTATTTTACAGAGAGATTTTCTAGGTCACCTAAAACTAGCCAGTTTGTCGTCGGAAGTGGTGCGATTTTAAGGAAACTTTAGGGCTCTTGCAAACCTACCTTACAAAGCCGAATAAGCTGATTTTTTTACACACAAATGTTTTAACTCTGATTAATAGTTTCAAGGTTTAATGGTTGCATTCTGTGGAAAGTTGGCTGAGATATGATTTTTTTAAAATGACCTTTAATTTGCTTATCGGGAAAAGTAATTTGCATAACTGGAGCTCAACGGTAATTTCGCAAAAGTGGCACCTGACTGAGACTCAAGTCTATGATAAAACAGAAGTACTAAGACCAGTCTACTTCTAAATGCAATAAAATTTGTGGGCACTCCTCTTTGCGTGCGGTACAAAGTTCCGTTAATGTTCCAAAATTCGCCATTTTGACAGCAAAACTGGAATTGTAACGGTCTGCATCTGGTCGACTAATTTCCACAGCTTTAACGTTTCTAGTTATCACTGACTGTCATTAGACCCTTTAAATGTTGGACTTTCGAAAACATGTGGAGAAAACTTAGTAATCGCTTTTTCTTGGTTTTTTTTCTTGTCGACGATGAACGTGACTTCATTCTCCGTATGCAAATTAGCCGTAGATGCGTCTTTTCAACAACTTGACATGAAACATAATCCTTACATTTCACATTTCTAAGGAGAAAAATAACTCTCCTTTCCATAGAAAAACACAAACCATCACTTAGAATCCCCTTAAGGTCTGGTTTTTTTTGTTTAACGAGGAAGAAACAGCTGAATAATATATCATGACATATGTTTGCGTGGCTTAAAATAATTCAATTACTGTGGCCTGTCACGCAATTCCTAAAAAGGGGCGGTCGATTAGAAAACAATAGCGTTGAATCGATCAATTTTATTATATTATCATCTTTTTTTAAATGGTAGTTATTGATAATAATTAAAAATAAGAGTTAACTTGCAAGGTAAGTCCTCTTGTCGCCACAATAAAATTTGTGGGCACTCTTTTTTGCGTAAACAGACGTTTGTACACGGCACTATGATGAAAAAAAATGCCCCACACTTTTTCTATCTAAATCCATGTATAGCTTTGCAAAAGGCAAATTAGCTGTAAATTTCAGTTTCATTCAAAGATCTTTAAAGCATTTATCGGTAGCAGAATGAAACGGGAAAAATAGTTTCTTTTTTCAGTGAATACACGCAAAAGGGATTATCTCAGTTTTTAGTTTTTGTTAGGGTATAACATCCGTATTCCCAAGATGATCTTGTTCTGGTTTCAATCTAATTGAATCATAATGCAACAGGTGTCAGTTTCAAATATAATTATGCCAATGAAATCGCCGAAGAGATCAATTGTGAAAAAAGCTGTTCTTTTCGCGAGATCGTCAAGACAGAGTGTGGTCCCAGTAGGGGTGTGGAGGGAAATGTGTTGGTCGCAGAGTGCATGAATGATATTACGTCGCACTTAGCCAGCTGTCACTTGTCTAAGTGTAGCAAAGTCAATGACTGAATGAACTCATTTTAGCGAGAGTAGAGGTTTGGTAGGTATTCGGAACTGAAATGACAATATGCCCAAGGCACAGACACTAAATAGCCTGGTACAAACCCCCACCTCCCTTGGGAAAAATCGGAGAAGGGGCCCTTTCTCCGAGGGGGTGCATGGGGTGGTGTGTACACACGCTAACGCTAAAATGACAATCTGCCCAAGGCACAGACACCTACTTGGCAGGTTTTTGCGAGCGCCAAGGTCTACTGTGCTGGAAAATGAGCCCCCAAGGGATTGGGAGACGGCGGAAATCGAGCCTAAGGTCTTGTCAATACCCCGGTCACACTCTGGATCATACTGACAAAATAACTACTGTGGCAGGAAATAAGTCAAAGTTTTGCTCCATCATGTAAGTATCATTCTTTTTTCTTCTTCATGCAAAACATTTCTAAACGTACAGAGATATTCTTATTTCTCCATTTAACATTTTATCTTGCGATGTTTTCTGATGTTCGTTTCCAGTTTAGTTGAGCTTGCAAAGATAGTTTATTTATTTCTATTTTTTGACAGCCGTGTATCTTGCTCTAATCAATTCTTACCTATAAAATACTATACATAAAGGTTAATCCGTGTGTTGTAAAAGATAGTTTTCTCATGATTGTTTAAAGAGCATTATAAATGGGGAAAAAAGAAAGAACTTTCTACACGGAGTCAGGATTCAACCTCGTCCCTAGGGCTTTCCCGCCCCTGCCATTTTCTAAGAGGAATGTCCTTGGGACGCGTGTGAAAAGTATTTCATTCTTGCAATAAAAACAATTTTCTTTAACTTAAACAGTGTTTAAAACATGTCTCTGGTTTTGTAAAAATTAGTGAGACTTAAAAGTACCAGAATGTTCAGTTCAACTTTTTATAGCTGATTTCCTTCTCCTGTGGCAAGAAACGTAAAAAAACTTGACGCCAAAGGGTCGAGAAGAGTACGATTGAACAGTCAGCAACCATGTCTACACGTTTGCCGGAGAGGTTTATTGGACAAGGTTTCTCTGTTTTTCTTGTTTTGAAAACATTTTCATTAAGTCTCCAAAAATGCCTCCAGATTGCTGTTTTTTTGTATTTATACCCTCTGGAACAATGTGCTCCATCAAAGTGCTCCTCCTATCTCTCTATTTTTAACCTACTTTACCATCCACCCTCTCTCCCTCCGATTCCACCTCTACTTTTACAAGCATTTATACTTAAAGGGGTGAAATTTCTCCTCTGTATATTAATTTCTGAAAACTGAAGTCCTGCTACTTTTTCCTTAAATTCTTAAACTTAGTTCTTTTTTCTTTAAGTACCGCCAAAGGTGCTGCTAAGGCTGCAATAAGCGCACTCGCCCTTTTTTATACTTCAGCTAGTGAAAGCCTACCCTTTCATATACCTGAAGCCGGAGCCTCCCCGTATAGGCCATCGTAGGGAGTTCCCCCCGCCCCCGTTCCAATTCCGTGCTCACCTATTGCCAGCCCATGTTGGACTCTAGGCCCGTTTGAGTCAACACCTAAACATAGTCCTAAGTGTAATTACAATAAGGCAATGGACGAAATAACCAATGTAATGAACTTGAATATACATTGAACTTGACGATAGAGATCTGCTGCAAGAAGACGAGGTGTTCGAAAGGCAAAAACTTGTTGCAGGCATCACTGAAGAATAATTGAGACCACAACACCCTCATGATCAATCAGAAGCTTTCAGCCTATCTGTATGTCAAAGAAAGATCAACCTAGTCAGTTCACAGTGGTCAGAGAGCCGTAGGGCAGCTGCCTCCCCTGGACCTGTTGAGCCAGACAAATCAAGTCTGTGGATGGATTTGTTTTCTTTAGACTCAGTTATTTTGATTATAGTGATTTGCTATTGTTTGCCATTTTCATCTTCGAGGTCATGGGCTCCTGTCGAGGCCTATTTTTCGGAGACATATTTCATGACAAGTGCTGAAAATAGCATTTCGGAGCCTCCAAATTTGAAAATTTTTCTGGGGGAGGACACCCCCAGTCCCCCTACAAGGCTCGTGCCTTCGGCTCTCGCGATAATGCCCCTCGTTACAAAAAACCTAACTACAGCCCTGGGGAATGCTAAAAAAAATAAGTTGTGTCACTCTGAAATACCATTCAAATCCAGGGAAAGAAAAAGGAGACCTAATTTACAAACTTTCGTCGTTCATTCACTGAGAGCACGTGCTTTTCTCCATCAGCTCAGTAGTAAACATAGACAACATAGGGATCCTTAATTTAGTGTGATTAACAGCCGGCAAAAACTTTTGGGATTTAACAGGAGACAGACCGTTAACAAAAAACTATGCCTTTTTTTGTTTTCCAAGTAACTATTTTTAGGCTAATTGTCGTGTATTACACCATGGGCCGTCATATTAAACCCTATCCTAGTGGCGCCCGGTGATCAGACTGGGTGGTACTGACTCAGTTAAAACGGTCGTAGAATGAATAAATTCAACAGCACGGTATTTCCCACCCAGTAAAGAATCGGAATTAACAGTGATTAAATTGTATGATTATCAATAACTATCACCTCAAAAAAGATATAATAAGATAAAAGAACTGATCGATACACGGTCACTCTGAGGGAATGCGTGACGAGCCACAGTAATTAAATTATTTTAATTCGCGTAAACATATCTTCTTCTGCTGCTTCTTCCTCGTAAAAGAAACAGACCTAAGGGGATTCTAAGTCATACATCGTTCGTGTTTTTTCGTGGAAAGAAGAGATATTTTTCCCTTAAAAAAATGAAATACAAGTATTATATTTCCTGTCAATTTGTTGAAACGACGCATCTAAGGCTAATTTGCATACGGAGAATGAAGTCATTTTCATCGTCGACAAGGAA